GAGAATGATGATGGCAACAAATGTACAAATGAGCTGGACACAATGGATGGATGGATGGATTGTGATGAGTTGTATGAGCCCCCAATAAAATGATTTTTTTAAAAAGAAAGGGGGTGATCTGAAAGACGAAAATCTATCCATGTGATGGATTGTCTCAGTAGATCCAACAACGAGACCAAGCACAGCAGCAACTGTGAGGGTGGCACCGGACTGGGCAGTGTTTCCTTCTGTTGGACATAAGGTCACTGTGAGTCAGAAACCACCTGACAGCATCGAACAACAATGGCATACGTTACTTTGAAAAGAAAAGGAAGGGAAACAAATGAAAATTAAACTGTAGAAAATAAGCAACCAAAAATATCCACCGACCATTTACATCTCGCTGAGGAAGCTTTATGTCTTGTGACGATCAGCTTGAGTTCCTTGATTTTACTTAGACTTAATCTTGAATTGAGATTGTCCCAGCTTTTCATGCTAGGTCATTTTTCTTGCTCATTTATCATTGCGCTCCTTGTCATTCCCCCCGCCCCCCCACCCCCACACACACCACTTTTTCCCTTCACGGCCATTAGGTTCTTGATTCGGCTGCACTTTCTGCTCCATTTGCCGGTAAGTGAATGCGTCTGTTAAACACACTCATCTCCAGCTTCACAGTATCCCTGGTTCTCTTTGCCTAACTAGGGGTGAACTGGTCGACTGGAACATGGAAGCATTGGATGTTAGAAACTGTGAGGTAAAATCAGGTCAACCAGCAAATCAAAGAGACTGGAAAACCTGCACGGGGTAAGTGTCTGAGGCAAGCAGTTTGGGGTGAGGCTGGCAAGGCACAGTGTTGAAGAACCCTTTTGACCATCAGAGATGCTCCTCAGAGAGCCACCTTCGCAAGCACAGCCCCATTGCTTACCACCTTCCCTTTGTCGGGATCATAGAAACGTTCCAACAGCTGAATGCTGGTGCTTTTGCCACATCCACTGCTTCCAACAAAGGCCAGTGTCTGCCCTGGGTTAATAGACACTGAGAGCCCATTGAGAACTTGTATGTTAGGCCGAGAAGGATACGTGAATTTGCAGTCAACAAAGTCAATCTTCCCCTGGAAGTTGTCCTGTGAAAGAAGGATTGAAATTACAGAGGGTCCTAGGGTCTAGAATATGGGCCATGTACCTACAGTTAACTTTTAAGCTCCTGATTCAGATAGCCTATCTTCAATATCATGACCTATGGATTGAGTTGTATACCTCCCCACCCCCAAAACTTTTTTTACACAAACACATACATACACACACACACACACACACACATACGCATATGGAAAGGATTCAAAAACTTTGTGGAAAAATAAAATGAAAAGATAATGGAATTTTCCACAAACATTTTCAAGCCCCTTATTGTAGTCCTGGCCCCTGTACTGATGGATGTGATTCTGGTTAGAAACTGGATTTTTCTTTTCTCATGTTAGTAAAGGCATACCCACTTCAGAGAACAACCCTGAAGTTACAGCTCAGGAAAAGGGGTGTGTCTAATCAGAACACACAGGAACAAAGAGGGAAGAAGAGAGAGCGGAACACAGCCTGGCCCACCAAACCCCTAGGATGATGTTCCTACTTAGAGCAGCCAATGCACAGAGAGGACCATAGGGCTGGCCCCACCATGAGACATGATGTCCCTCACTGACCCATAGCACTACAGGGGACAACACTGGAGACACAGCACAAGAATTGTGTCTGATCTGACCCCACCACACGGGGGCAAAACACAAAGGGTGTGCAACAGAGCAGCAAGGGGAGCAAAGCAATGAGGTCCTGGAGAATATCAAAAATAGACTTTAGGGCCAAGGTGTGGCACCCCATCAGACTCCACCAGAAAACACTCCTAAAGGTCAACAAACAGACCTGGAATTATTTATAGGCTTTTCTTTTTTGTGTGTGTCAGTTTTATTGTTGTTGTTTTGTTTTCCTCTCTCTTGTTTTTGTACTTACTATTGTCTCTGCATGTCTATCTAGATAAGATAGGTGAGATAAACAATCCAGAGGAGAAAACAATGGGACCAACACAGGAGAGGGGGCTGGGGGGACAGGGGGGTTATCAACAAACCCAGGAGCAAGGGAATAACAAGTGATCTAAATGGATGGTGAGGAGGGTGTAGGAGGCCTGGTGGGGCTTGATCAAGGTCAATGTAGCCAAGAAGAATTATTGAAACCCAAAGAAGGCCAAATATTTTCGTGGGACAAGAGGAAACTAAAGGGAAATAGAGGAAAGAACTAGGAAGCAAAGGACAGTTATAGAGGTCCAAATACAGATATATACATATGCAAATATATTTATATATAACAATAGGGAAATAGATCTATGTACATATATTTATATGTTAAACATTAAGGTAGCAGACAGACATAGGGCCTCTACTCAAGTACTCCCTCAACAAAAGAACACTTTATTCTAATAAGCCAGCATTCTGTGATGCTCACCTTCCCAACACAATCACTGAAGACAAAATGGGTGCATTAGTAAATGTGGTGAAGAGAGCTGATGGTGCCTGGTTATCAAAAGATATAGCATCTGGGGTCTTAAGTGCTTGAAGATAAACAAGTGGCCATCTAGCTGAGAAGCAAAAAAGCCCACATGGAGGAAACATACCAGCCTGTGTGATCACGAGGTGTCCACGTGATCAGGTATCAGGCATCAAAGACCCAAAACAAAAAATCATGTCATTGTGAATAAGGGGGAGTGTGGAGTGGAGACCCAAAGCCCACTGTAGACAATTGGACATCCCTCACAGAAGCGTCACAAGGAAGAGATGAGCCAGTCAGGGTGTAGTATAGCATCAATGAAATGCACAACTTTCCTCTAGTTCTTTAATGCTTCCTCCCCCCCACCCCACCGACTATCATCACCCCAGTTCTGCCTTACAAATCCAGCTAGACCAGAGGATGCACACTGGTACAGATAAGAACTGGAAACACAGGGAATCCAGGACAGATAAACCCCTCAGGACCAATAATCAGAGTATCAATACCAGTAGGGGGAGTGGAAGGGGGGGAGAAAGGGGGAACCAATCACCATCATCTACATATAACACCCTCCCAGGGGGGCGGACAACAGAAACGTGGGTGAAGGGAGCTATCGGTCAGTGTAAGACATGGAAACAATTTATAAATTATCAAGGGTTGATGAGGGAGGGATGGTGAGGGAGGGAAAAATGAGTTGATACCAAAGGCTCAAGTTAAAAAAAATGTTTTGAAAATGCTGATGGCAACATATGTACAAACGTGCTTGACACAATGGATGGATGAATTGGGATGAGAACTGTAAGAGCCCCCAATAAAAAAAGCATACCAGAGTAGGATGGGTCCTAAATGTAATCCTTTCTGAGCTATAAAGAAAAGGAGTCTGGTGATGTCTCGGTGCAGGCACTCAGCTGCTAACTGCAAGCTTGACAGTTCACGCCTACCAGTGGCTCCAAGGGAAAAAGACACGGGGGTGGGGTGGGGGTGGGGCCCGGGGGGGGGGGGGGGGTCCATGTGTATTACAGTCTCAGGCTGGGGATGCCTACGGGGCAGTTCTACCTGATCCTGTAGGGATGCTTTGAGTCAGAATCAACTTGATTTGACAACAGTGACCTTTGGGAATTATAAGAAGAGCAAAATACACACACACACACACAGGGGTAAGCTGCCATATGAAGACAAACACACAAGGCAGATGCGTCTACGAGATCGGAACTTTATGGATTGCTCCTAGTAGAAGCTGAAGTCGATGGAGAACCATCCCATGGAGTCATGACCTACATTGACTTCTTTCCTCCCGAACTGTGAGGAAATAAAGTTCTGCTCTTTGAAACAACTTCAAAACGTTGGTTTACACACACACACACACACACACACACACACACACGCTTTTCAATGGCAGTACTAGGGAAAACATCACACTATCAAGCCCAACAACTTGATGCAAAGGCAGTGTCTCCCCTATTTTAGCAGCCCTGCAGGGAAACAAGAGCAGCTAAACGAAAGAAACTGGACCTCTGCTTCCCATCCAACCTGAGGGGATTTCTTTGTCATCTGAATGGAAGATCATAGATGTTATCACCTCGCAGAAGCCGCAACGGCCCAAACCTTCAACTCTGATCCCTAAAAGATTTCACAGGCATTGCACTTGAAATGACTGAGGGTCAGAGTTACTTGTGTTTTGTACTGCAAAGATGAGTGAATACATTTGAATTGCATGGTTTCTGTTTAGTTTTTTTTAATGTTGTGGGGTGAAGGTGTACAGAGCACATCAATTTTCCATTCAATAATTGCGACACCACTTGTTCATCTCATTGGTGGCACTGCCCTCAGTGCCACAGCACTCTCCATCTCTCCCCGGCATTTCCTACCTTCTTCTCTCCTAACCCTTCTGAGTTGTGTCCTTGGACAGATGCTGCCCCCTTGATCTCCAATGGTTCCTCATTCTAAGGTGTCTCCACTTCACAAGATCAACTACAGGTTGGTGTGTCTAAAAATAGTTCCAATCATGAACTTGAGAAATGGACATCTAGTGAAGGCCAAAGAAACTTTACTTCTATTGAGCTGAAGAAGAAACCCATCATTTCACCAGTTTAAAAAGATTTCTGAATTCAATTAAACTTTATTAAGTTTCTGGGGATATTTTTGTGCTCTTGAGCCTACTGAGATTTTTCAAAAGGGGGCAGGACAGATTAACAATGCCTCTGAAGACTATCAATTATGAGGAAAGATATTTTGTTGAGATCAAATTTATTTGACCAAACAAACTTTCATCAAGGTGAACCAAATTACCATCATTGGACAGGAAAAGTCCGTATTTCTGCATTTCGCAGTAGCGCCACCACTTGTCTGTCAGTTCAGCTTACTGTGGTGGCCTGTGTGTCGCGATGATGCTGGAACGTATGTCGCTGGTACTTCAAAGACCAGAAAGGACACCCAAAGTGAACACGCTTTAGCAGAACTACCAAACTAAGAAAAGGCTACATGGAAAGAATACACTGTCTGCTTCGGAGGACTAGCAGCTGAAAAACAAATGCATAGCATCAAAACACTGCCAGATACGGAATGCCTCAGAATACTAACAGAGATAGTGCCAGAGATGAGCGCTTTAGTCAGAAGAGACTCAAATTAAGACAGAGGAAGAGCCGTATTCTCAAAGTAGAGTTAACCATGACAGAAATGGAGTAAAAGTCTGTGGGGGTAAGCCTTTGAGACCTTCATTTTGCTGGTGGGGCATGACCCCAAATGAGGAGAAACAGCTGCTGACATCTACTGATAATAGGAACTTGGAATGCATGAAGTATGAATCTAGAGAAATTGGAAGTCATGAAAACTGAAATGGAATGCAAACGTTATCGATATCCTGGGTATGAGTGAGCTGAGATGGACTGGGATGGGCAACTTTGGATCAGAAAATCATATGGTTTACTATGCCAGGAAGGACACACTAAGAGGAATGATATCGCACTCATTATAAAAAAGAACATTTAAGATTCATCCTGAAGTACAATGCTGTCCGTGAATGGATTATATGTATCTGCATTCAAGGAAATCCAATAAATGAAACTATTGTTCAAATGTGTGTACCGACCACTAGCTGCACTAACAGCTCATGAGATGGAAAGAATATCCAGACTCAGTCCCCCAAAGAACTAGTTGACAGCCCCCCATTTCAGGAGGTGGCATATAAGAAAGAACCAATGGTGCTGGAGGAAGAAGTTCATGCTGCACTGAAAGCATTAGCCAAAAAACAAGGCTTCTGGAATTGATGCAATTCTAATCGAAATGTTTCAACAAGCTGATGCAGCAATGGAAGCACTCATTCCTCTGTGCTAGGAAATGTGGAAGACAGCATCTTGGCCCACTGACTGGAATAGGTCCATCTCTGTACCCATTCCAAAGAAAGGTGACCCATCAGAATGCTCAAACTACAGAAAAATATCATGGATAACACATGAAATAAAATTTTGCTGAAGATAATCCAACAAAGGTTGCAGGAGTACAATGACAGGGTGGTGCCAGGCTGGATTTTAAAAAGGATGTAGAACAAGAGATATCAATGTTTGTGTCAGATGGATCTTGGCTGAAGCAGAGAATACTAGAAAGATGTTTACCTGTGTTTTGTTGACTATGCAAAGGGATTTGACTATGTGGATCATAACAGACTATGGGTAGCCTTAAGAAGAATGGGAATTCCAGAACACCTCAGTGTGCTCATGTGGAACTTGTACATGGATCAAGAGGCAGCTGTGTGAACAGAACAAAGGACTACAGTGTGGTTTAAAATCAGGAAAGGCATATCAGTGTTGTATCCTCTCCCCATACCTATGCAATCTGCGTGCTGAGCAAAGAAGTAGAGAAGCTGGATTATATGATGGAGAGTGTGGCATTAGGATCGGTGGATGGTGTATTAACCTGCCGCACGGAGATGACACAACATTGCTTGCTGAAAGCGTGCAAGACTGGAAGCACTGCCTGATCAAGAACAAGGGATTGCCGCCTTCGGTAGGGACTATGAATCAATGTGAAGAAGACTAAACTCCTCACAATGAGGCCAATAGGTAAGGTCATGATAAGTAGAGAAAAGACCGAAGTTGTCAAGGATTTTGTCTTGCTTGGATCCACAATCAATGCTCATGGAAGCAGCAGTCAAGATATCAAATGACAAATTGCATGGAGTAAATTTGCTGCACAAGACCTCAGTCAAGTGCTGAAAAGCAAGGAGTTTGCTTTGAAGACTAAGGTCTGCCTAACTCAAGCCATGGTGTTTTCAGTGGCCTTGTGTGCAGGTGAAAGTTGGACACTGAATAGAGACGATCAAAGAAGAATCGGTACATTGCGTCGTGGTGCTGCCGAAGATACTGAAAGTACCATGAACTGCTAAAAGGACACGCCGATCTGTCTTGGAAGAAGTATGGCCAGAAGGCTCCTCAAAGGCAGCGAGGGTGAGACTTTGTGCCACGTATTTTGGGCATGTTATCAGGAGAGATAACACCTAGTCCCTGGAGTGGTGAAGTGGAAGGGGAGTGAAAAGAGGGAGACCCTCAACAAGAAGGACTGGTGTAGTGGCCGCAACAATGGGTGACATAGACCAATTGTGGGGACGGCACAGGGCCAGTAGTGTTCCGTTTGTGTACATAGGATAATTAGGGGTCGCACGTGACTCGGTGGCACCTAACAGCAACACACCAGCACATCAGTACGAAACATGGGAGGTGGGTAGGTTCAAAAGATATTAAGCTTCATTTATTCTGGAACTAAGTGTGTTTTACAGTATATGTACAGGATTTAGCATTCATTGAATATCTCTGCCATATTCAAATGCCAACTCTATTAATAGATAATGTATGCTAATTTACTTGAATCTTTACAAGTGTAAATCTATTGCCTGTCCATTCAAAGCACTTATGAATGAAGCTGTATACTGCAGAAGTTTCTAGGCTAAGTGGAATTGTCTGACCAGCCCCAATGACTGTTGTATACATGCGCCTGCAAACACACACACACAAACACACACAACCCCCCTTACCTGTTCCCCGTCCCACTTCCTTCACCAGCGTACTTACCCACTTTTCACCTCCACTGCTGTATACATTGATTGGGGGTTGTCGGTCCAGCAGTTGGAAGAAGCGTGCAGCTGATATTTTCGCTTTGGCATAGTTCGGGGTGTAAGAGGAGGCTCTTCCGAGAGCAGACCCGCTCAGGACAACAGCAGTGATCACTCTGCAATCAGATGGACACCCAGGTAGAGAGGGGCGGGCTGGGATTGCTTTGACAGCCTAAAGGCGGGCATTTTCGGTCTCAGCTCTGGTTCTGCTGGGAAAGAGCTGAGTCTGGTTGGCAGGTCTTTTCCTCTCATGAGCCTTATCTGGGAAAGGGGCTTGGGGAAGTTAGAAGTCCTCAAATTGTATTACAGGCAAGCGGGGGAGCGGGGCACTGACCAAGAGATGTTCAGACCTCCAAAGCCTGCTTCAGTCACAATAATTCTTTATAAGAAAATTTAAATATACATACACAACGACTTTTCAAAATAAAAGTAAGGAGGCTTTTACTCTCTGAAGTAAATTCACTGGACTGGATAGCTTTCTTCCGATTCTCCATTCCCTCAACATATGTTAAATGTTTAAAAGATAATAATCGGTAATGTCAATTCTGCGGCAAAATGGCATATGCTTCACTCTGCGTGAGAAAGATGTGCTCATTTCTTCCTTTCTATTTGTCCCCGCTTTTAACTGTCTTCAGCATGCATTCAGTGGCTGAACAAGTGAATGAGTGAATAAATGAATAGCAAACACGGTGCTGTCTGAACCATGATTTGAGGAGACCCCCTGGAGGAGTCCTAAGGGCTCACAGAGGGCTTGACTCTCCTGGGGAGGGGAGGTCTCTGCATGGCTGACTGCTCAGTTTATTAGCAGGAATGGTTAAGTCGGGAGTCACAAACTCAAATCTCTAGTGGGAGTGCAGAATCAGAAATGTAGAAACTGGGAGTTTTTTGCAAAGACTCCCAATTTTCACATGTTGGCAGATCATTTCTTAAAATATATCATATAAATGAAATAAACCAAATCCACATTTTTTTTTTACTTTTCTAATTTGAACAAGGAGCCATAAGTATGTGAAGATTCAAAAAAGAGGATTTCCAGGTGGGTTGGGTGCAGTGGTATAGGAGAGAAATACCAGGAAAAAGATCAAAAGAAAGAAGCAGACTTCATGGCTTGCGAACAAAATCTAAAAGAACATTCTTATCGTGTCTGACTTTCCTAAATCCCTGCAAGGCTTTCTCAGACTATCTCCCCCTATCCCATCCAAACACTGTATCCCCAGATCTGGCACCCTTAGTTTACTGGCTCTGGAAATGTGAGGACCTACACTCAATAGCAATTTTGTAGAAGAAAGGTTCTGACTCTAAGAGAGGAATATAACTTCCTCGTGTGGGCTTTGCTGTCTCTAGCTATGAGGTCTCCGCTGGAAGCATGCCCTCTTTGTGGGAGAGAAGGAGAATTCAGCTAGAATCATTCCATGAACCATCTGGAGCCTCTGGGTGGTGCAAACCGTCAACCCACTTGATGACTAACCCAAAGGCTGGGAGTTCAAGTCCACCCAGAGGCTCCATGAGTCAATATTGGGCTAATGGTAACGGGTTGCTTTGACGAACCATCTAATTCAAGGTCACCATGATTTCCTAGTGTTAACTAGTTTGGTAGCTCCTTTGTAAAAGACAGTCACAATAATGTGTCCTATCATTGTATGCACACTCTTTTGCAATAAGACATTTTCACTCCTCTCATCAAGAGATAAGGAACATTTCTCTATCCTTTAAATCTGGGCTAGGTCAATCACAGCCACTGAGATAATAGAAAATGTGAAGCACGTAGAGACTTGAAAAGGTGTTTGTACATTAGGACTTGCCCTGAGAAACGTGGGCCCATAACTGGAAGAAGCCACATGTGTCGGCGAGAGAGAGAGAGAGAGAGAGAGAGAGAGAGAGAGAGAGAGAGAGAGAGAGACTGTGGAGGCAGAAGTCCAACCTTCCCTGACATGCTCGCATCCTCCTCCACGCTCGCTGCATCATCCAAGTCAGCAGAACCACCCTGCCAACCCACAGACGCAGGTTGTGTTAGACACCAAATTTTGGATAGTTGGTTAAGCAAGCAAAAGCTAACTGGTAGCTCAAGCAGATAGTGCAGGATGGATGGGGCAACTCACGATGATAGCCACTCCTTCGTAGAGTGTTGATCTAGTGTGGCTGTGATCATGTGGACACCCCGAGCCCTCACCTGAACACATAGCTGAAGTGCAGGGCTTCATGGAGGATTAAGTAACCTCCGTATCGGTAGGAAGCAGAATTGGCAATAAATGTAATACACTGGGAAAAACCAAAGCAGAAGCCATATACGTTCGCCTTTCGAATGGCTGTCTTGAATGGCTTCTCCAGCTCAGCCTCATAGGCTTCAATAAACCACCTCTCCTTTCCAATACCAGCGACGGTGCGGATGTTACTGAGAGCTTCGTTTGCAATCTAAAGGAGGAAAAAGAGTCTTAGAGACAAGAGAACAAAAAGAACTCCTTTTATGACATTTCAACTATACACAGGTTAAAATGGGTATACATGATCAAATGTAGCACAAATCAGATATAGGGGCCCCAAATGGGGATGTTTGACAAAAATCAGCTGGAGATCAACTCAATTGTACCCTGAAATATGCTGTCAGCCAAATCTAAGCTCTCTTTCATTCTCATATGTCTTGTCTTCTTGTGGGAGAGAGAAGTGGGAGGAATTCCTAGTGGTACAAATAGTTATTCAGCTACTAACTGAAAGGTTACAGGTTGGTGAGATAGTTTATTGTGCCAGCCTGGCCGATAAACACAAGTGGGATTAACTGAAGGGCAGAGAGATAAATGCCTTGGTGAGTCTCGCTTTTCTTGTCTCTCGCTCTTTGATCATCGGACCAGTGTGCGGCTGCCTTGCTTGTCCTGTGCCTCAATTTAAAGGCTACACTGCCTGTGGGACGCCTAGCCTGTGGACTGTGTCGCTGTAAGTTGAGGTCCCTTTAAGACATCGCTGGAGCTGGGGACTGGCAGTTGGTGACCTGGCTGGCAGTTGGTGACCTGCCTTCTGATTGGCTGCTGTGCTGACATAGCCTAGCTCTCTCTATAAATAGAGGAAGATCTGGCAGCAGATGAGACTGGAAGGACTGCTAGTCTCTTACATTTCTCTCACGGCAGAGAGCTGAATTGAGCCTTTGTAGTGCTTTATAATTTAACTGTTTCTTTCTTGTATTATATATTTAACTGTATATGATTTAACAGTTCATTCCTTGTTATATATCTAATTATCTTTATAAATAAATATATTAAATTATCAGCAATTTGGTCTTATCTCTCTAGAGAACCCTGTCTAACACAGTTGGAGTGCACTCAGGGGCAGCTCAGAAAAACCTGGAGATCTACTTCTGAAAAATCAGGCATTGGAAACCCTGTGGGACACATGGGATTGCCATCAATTAGTCATCTCAGTGGTAACTAGAACTGGACAGTTACACTTGATAGTGTCTTACTGTCTTTGCCAATCCATTTGAAATGTCTAAAATGGTATCTCATTCCTACGAAATCTGAGAGAGAAGATGTCTTAATATCAGATTCTCTTTTTTAATCAATCTGCTAAAATATTGTCCAAGGTAACTTAAAATTAAATGTAAAATTTTTCTTTTAGTCTATGAATTTGACTTTCCTTAAATTCACACTCCAGGGTAAATAAGCATTGCTTCTGAATTAGGGTTCTTCCCTAAACATGACACAAAAACAGGCATATACAATCATTTTGGCTTGTAGCTTATTGTTGTTACTATCGTCCTATCATTTCTGATTCACAGTTACTCCCCCCACCCCACCCCCATACACACACGCACACACATATACACACCCTCAACAGGATGAAACACTACCTTGTCGGGAGGCATTCTTACAGTTGCTGCTCTATGTTAGTCTATTATTACATCCATTTTGCCAATCCATCTGGTAGAGGGTCTTCTCTTTGGCTGACTCTACATTACCAAGCATGATGTCTTTCTCCAAGGACGGCTTCCTCTTGATAACATGCTCAAAGTACACGAGACGAAGTCTTGTCATTGCTGCTCTCAAGGGACATTCCAACTGAACATCTTCCAATACAGATCTGTTCTGTCTGTTTGTAGCCTATTCGATATCCCTCATCACCACCAGAATTCAAAGCATCAACTCTGCTTCGATCTTCCCCCACTACCGTCCAGTTTCCAGTGCGTGTGAGACCATTGAAAACACCGTGACGTGGGCCGGCGGAAACAGTCTTCTCAGGGATCTCCTTCCCTTATATCGCACGTTGTTTGGAATCTTAGCTGCTGGGCTTGCAGGGAATCCAAGTAAAATAACATCGTTGACAACTTCGAACTTTCTTCTCCTGATCATGGCGTTGCTTAGCTTACTGGCTTATCTGTGAGGATTTTGATTTTCTTTATGTCAAGGAATAAGCCATACTGAAGGCTGCCATCCTCGATCTTCATCAGCAGGTGCTTCAAGGCCTCTTAGCTTCAGCAAGCAAGAGTATATCACCTGCATATCCCAGGTTGCTAATACACCTTCCTCCAATCCTGATGCTCCATTCTTTACAAAGTCCAGCTTCGCAAATGATTTGCTCAGCCTGCAGATTGAGCCTTTATAGTGAAGGGCGTTGACGCAGCCATTCCTGATTGTACACCATTCAATGCACCTCTTTTTGTTCAAAAACTGCCTTTTGGTCTGTGAACAGGTTTCACATGAGCACAATGGAGTCTTCTTCACTCCCATTCTTCACAATGCTACGTATAGTTCGGTATGATTCACACAGTCAAATGCCTCAAAGGCATATTGCATAAAACATAGGTAATCATCTTTCTGTATTCCCCCATTCAGTCAAGATTCATCTGCCATCGGCAATAATATCCTTTGTTCCACATCCTCCTCTAGCTCTGGTTTGAATTTCCAACAGTTCCCTGTTGATTTACTGCTGCAACATTTTTAAAATTGTCTTCAGCAAAGTTTTACCTGGGGTGATACTGATGATATTATTTCAGCATTCTGTTGGATTACCTTTCTTTGGAAAGGGCACAGATCTAGAACTCTTCCAGCTGGTTGGCCAGGTAGCTGTCTTCTGTGGACGAGTGAGTGTCACCCTCCCTGCATCTGTTTGTTGGAACATTTCAATTTGTATTTCATCAGTTCCCAGAACACTGTTATTCACTTCAGTTTAGCTTCTTCCTTTGGTAGCATAATTTCTTCATCATGTGCTATTTTTTGGAATGGTTGAAAGTTAATCAACTCATTTGGGGACAGTGATTTTGTTTATTCTTCCATCTTCTTTTGATGCTTCCTGCATCTTTCAGTATTTTATCCATCAAATCCTTCAGTGTTTCAACTCCATGCTCCTTCCTACTCAGACAGCGATAATGTTGCCATTCCCACAGTTGAAAGGACAAAACCTGGGCTATAATAAAATTGGTGAAAGACAGAGTGCACGTATGTGTGTGTGCAACCATGATCCTGAAATATGAAAAGTGTTTATGCCCCACCCTGAATTTGACCCTGATCATCAGATTTCAGTTAGAGCACATTTTAAGAGCCAATAGTCGAAACCAGTCATTGTCAGGAACTTTGGCTCATGAATCTATCCAGGAAAGACATTTGCCACAAGCCGAGAAGACTCTGATGTATGAGGATTCAAGGAATGGGTCATTACAAAGTGAATAACTGCCCTCTGTGGATGAGGGTGGGCAGCATGAGTCAGCAAAAATGTGAAACTGAGTACAAGCCCAACATACTGCAAACAGAACTGAGTTGTCTATTCTTACAAATGATATGGCAGAAAATATATGGGGAAACAAACCAACAGTTTAAGAAGACAAAACCAAAATGAACATCTGACCCTCTTTATTGACCCCCATCCTAGCACCAGAGCTTGTTCTTAGAGCCTTTGCATCTTGCACCCACAAGAAGGGTGAGTAGGAGGTTTCTAACCATGCAACCTAACATTTGTAAGCAAGCATCACAGAGTCCGTCAGAAAGCCACTTTGCCCTGAGGAGTCTGGGCATGAGGTCTATAAGATTACCTGTCCTGCCGACTCTAGAGCTTGCTTGTCTTGCGAGGCAAATCCTGTCAACATTTTGGTCTGTATGACTCCTGACAGAGCCAAGAAGGGGAAGAAGCACAAAATGACCAAGCTCAGCTTCCAGCTGAATAAGAAGGCAATGGTCATGGCCACAGCAATGTTGCTGAAGGAATTGACGATCATCCCAATTTGAGAGCCAGCAGCCTGCAAACCAAAAGCAATTGAGTAAGCTCACACACCCAGACTTTTACCAATGCAATGTGCCTTTTCAAGGATGCCTAAGTTCCTGAGTGACATTATGTTAAAAAGTCTTGTTTATACCAAAAAATATGGCTTCTTCTAAATGATAAATCCTCCTAAACTAGATTGATTTAAAATGTGGATTACTAAGAGTCCATTTTACTCCCAACTTTCAGGAACTCATCTGTTAACTATTTTCATTTAATGATTTGAGGGACTTCCTAAGAGACACTGGGATTTAGCTGCTGTTTGTCAGCACTGGAAAAGGTAGAAAGGGTGGCACTGGGGCATTGAAACAAACAACCAAACAAACAAAATGCCATCAAGTTTACTCCAACTCACAGTGACGCTATAGGGCCGAGTAGAACTGCCCCCCGTGGGTTTCTGAGATTCTAAATCTTTACAAGGGTCGGAAGGCTTACAGGAAGCAGACAGAAGATGCAAATGAAAGAAATTCTACTCCAGTTAATACACCACAGCTCCTCGCCCCCAAGCCACCACCCCTCCATAGCTTACCCCTTGAACTTGGGAAGCATCAGTAGCAAGTCTCGTTGTCAGGGCTCCAGGGCTGTTTCTGAGGTCATCAAACCAGCCAATGTTTTGCCCTAATATCGCCCTGAAGCCAAATTTCCGTAGTCTTTTTGTGAGGAGCTCCCCAGATTTTGCAAATGTATATCCCTAAAACATAAAGCAGGAGTCTTGGGCTACATTTCAACATGAAATGGGGCCAATTGTTAAATTCTCTACTTCAGAATGAAAGCTCTTTTTACCTGCAGGAATTGGGTGAAAAGGGATACAATGCCCAGCACTACAAAGAGCAGGCACACACCGTGGAGTTGAGACCGTTGTTCCTCTTTATCAGGAATTGAAAACGTCTTTGGGAGACAGCAAGGAAGGAAGAGAAATGATTGTTGTAAACAGTAGCAAGATAAACTCAAATATGCTTAAAAGCAATTTCTCTTACACAGGTTGAAATAGTCTTCCTTTAAATGGAAACTTGAGGAAGCAGGATAGATGGTATTACATGGTGGCCTTTACAATCGATGATAAAGAATGAACTATTGAATGGGAAATTGATCTGCTCAAGATCTTCACCAAATTCACAATGAAAAGTGTCTTAAACATAGTTTCACTCTGGATAGCTTAGTGATTAATCCGCCGCTAGCTATGAACAGTGCGATGAAGATGATGATATAGTTGGCCTATGAGAGCCCCAAACCTGGACAAACTACAAAGCCATGGAAACAATTTCCAGAACCTTGCCTTTGCCTGACTTGGGCAATGGTTATCGACTTTTCTTTGTTATCCAGATGTACAAGGTGACGAAATTCCTTGAGTTCTCTATCCAGTGAGTCAGAGAAGGAAGGAAGGAAGAAAGGAAAGAAGGGGAGAAGGAAGGAGAGAAGAAGAAAACTATTTGTGAGTCTGTTAATGTTAATAGAGGCAAAAATTCCAGGTATTATCATGGCCTGTGTAGTCCTCAAATAATAGAGAAGGTTTCTACACTCAGGTGCCCTACTTGTTTCACAGGTGTCATATATGACAGCTATCACCATTACAAAAGTAATTAGCTGTCAAGGCATTGAGATTGATTTGTTCAGGACAGAACACAGTCCCCATCCATCTGAGAGAGAGGTTGTTGGCTCTCAGTTGCCAGAAGCTGAAAATGTCTCCCCTCAATCTACAGAAACTGTGAGTGGACGTTTACGTCTACAATAAGTGGTAAACTATAGTTGCTTGCCCAAATACAGATAGCCAGGAGAGCGCAGAAACCTTCTTCAAACCCAGAGCTGGCTGCCTTCTCAACCCCGGCTTTTCTCGGCGTGCGACACCCCAGTTGCTGTGTTTGGAAGATTTGACACATTTTCCAAGTCAAACAGACACAGGGCGAGTAAGTCTGGTAAAATGTCTCCTGTGTATAAGGAGACTTAGCTACATCAGCATCCAGGATCCCAAGGTGACCCGTCACTTACTGGGCCCACGTTCCACACTGTGGTCGCAATAAACCAAATGTGAATGTTGTGCCCGTTAGGTCTGTCGGAATGAAGATCGTGCAATTAAAAGCAGGCTATTCTCTGAATGATAATTATGCCCTACCAGTGGAAAACATTGTATATGTGATGATTATGCTAAGAGGGAAAAAAAAAACAACCTTCTTTATCAAAGAGGCAAAATAATAACGTTTGTTTAGCCTCATCCACTTTGCAAATACAGCTCTGTGGAACTTGATAATGAGAAAACTCTGAATCTCACTAGCTAGCTCAGTGTTAAGGAGCCCTGATGGGGAGTGAGTTACACTTGGGCAACTCACCACAAGGTCAGCAGTTCAAAAACACCAGCTGTTCTTCAGGAGAAAAATTCAGCTCTCTACTCCCATAAAGATTCACAATCTTAGGACCCACAGGGGCAGTTCTACTCCGGCCCACGGGGTCCCTGTGAGTCGGAATCGCCTCGAGGGCGGTGAGTGATCAGCACTCTGCTATCCTGGTGCTGAAGCTCTCCCATTGCTTCGCCCGAGTTCGTCCCAGGACTTGTGGCGGTCATCACAATACAGGGACTGCTCTCACTACCATTAGCCACGCGGATGCTTCAGGAGGGTTACAGGAGGAATGGACCCATCTACTCTGCTTGGACAATTTCATAGACCTCTAGGACGGCAAGGTTAGAGATCGTCTTTGCCAATCATTGTAAAGTTGGCCGACTGATGCCCAGAGGAGTGCGTGACTTGACCCCAGGGCACATGGAGAAGGGATCTCCCAACAGAGAATCCCAGCAGGCCAGAGGTTCTCAGTCTTTACAGGAGCAAATGGCCATATTTTTCTCCTTCAGAGCTGCTGGTGGGTTTGAACCCCCAACCTTTCAGCAGAGGACTTAACCCATGGTGCCAAAGAGGTTCTTAAGACTAATATAGTGGTTAGTAAATGTTTGTGGTTATCATTATATAGCAATGAAATCAGATAAAACCAAAACAAACCCATTGCCACAAGTCAGATCTGACTCATGATGACTCTACTCGAGGTTTCTGAGCTAATAGACCTTTATAAGAGCAGACAGCCTCGTCTGTCTCCTGTGGAGCAGCTGGTGGCTTGAACCACCAACTCTGCTGTTCGTAGTCCAGTGCTTGTCCCACTTCTATTCTTGTTAGTGTGTCAATTTTCTCCTCTTCCTTACCCCATGTGACCGAATAGACTTGGCTGAACGGGTTTTCTAGGCTGCGCTCTTCCCAGGGAGAGATGGCCAGCTGTCTTTCCTGTAGTGCCCGGAGGGGGTTCAAACTGCCACCACTTCCTGTAGCAGCCAAGTGCTTCACCAGGGTTCCTCTCAGAACTTGTAGAAAGTGAAAAACTGACAAACGCTTGTTCTTTATCCATGCCTTATTTCACTCCTCTCTTTTCCCTCTTCCTCCCACCTCCCCATGTTAATGGTGCAATCAGTAGGAGAGGGAAGAATTATACACTGCACGCGGATGCCTGCTATTATCGGGCAAACTTGGTACTTCGGTCCTCAGCAAGATCAGAAATGGCCCTGAAGTCTTTTTGTTTTATTCAACACAGCGGCCTTGCATGCTGATTTGGCTCACATGGAGGTCAATTGGTCCTTCTGGCACAAAGTGCGCAGCCGCGGCCTCATTTTCTGACAGGCAGGAGGACTCTGTGACCCCCTGTCCAGCCCAAATGAGAGTGCTCATCCTTGCCTTCCTAACCTTCTGATCAGAGGCACAAATGATGTTTATTCCTTTGGAAATGAGAAAGACAGAGTTAACAAAACAAAAAAAAAAAGTACTAACATTAACACAAAACAAAACAAAAAAAGCCATCCTATCACACATGTTACATCCACTGGCCGAGACACAAGAGGAATAAGAATAAAGTTAGCCCAGCTGCTCGCTCACCCCAAGAATCTCACTGAATAAGAAGGCGTAGAGGGGTGTGACGGCCCCATTGACAGCTGCACCCACAGACCCGGCCAGCATGTACGGCCACTCGGCAGCATTGAACTTCAGGATCCTCCTGATTGGTGCAGGTCTCACATCCTCTTCCACAGGAACCTCCACAGCCTTGAGGAAAACAGGGGTTATATTAATCATCTAACTGTCCACCCAGTTATTTCACACCTACTCTTTAAAAACAAGTTTGGTTAACATAAAATTCACGTACTATGTAATTCAATGGTTTAAATCAAAGAGTTGGGTAATCATCACCACAATCAATTTTAGAAGATTCTTTTCATTTCTGTTTACCCATTAATATTAGCTCCTCATTTCCCCCTAACCGACCCTGCCATAATCCTAAGGTATCTACTTACTGTCTCTATAGTTCTATATTGACCTATCCCGGATTTTATATAAAGAAAATCATACAACAGAACCACAACAGAAACCTCGCCATCTGAAAGAAAACAGAAAGTAATAAAAGGCCTCATTCTGGTTCCGGTCGCCATGGGAGAGTGGCTGTCAAGTCAACAGCTCACGCATGGAGATAGCACCTGTAATGGAGTAGAACTCACAGCCCTCGTGGAGGTAGATTACCGGGCCTTTTTCCAAAGGCTCACTGGTGTGTTAAACTGCCTTCAATATGGATTAAAACTCAATGTAAAGAAAACAGAAGTAGTCACAACTGGACCACGATAATTGGAGAAAATATTGACGTTGTCATGGACTGCGTCTTACCTGGATCCACCCTCTATGCTCATGAAAGCAGCAGACAAGAAATAAAGAGCAAGAAGGTCGCTTTTAGGGCTTGGGTGTTCCTGGTCAATGTACTTTGAACGGTCTCTTATGCATGTGCAAAATGCACATTGAATAGGGCAGACAGAAGAAAAATTGATGCATTTAAAACATGAGTTGGCAAAGGGTATTGAAACTGCCATGAACTACTATAATACACAAGGAAGTCTGTCTTGGAAGAAGTACACCCAGAATGTGCCTGAGACGTGAGCACAGCATGATCTTGTTTAGCCTATTTCAGTCTATTAGGAGAGACCAGTCCCCGGAGAGGGCAGCATGCTTGGTAAAGTGGAGGAAGAGGAAAAGAGGAGACTTCGACAGGATGGACTGACACGGTGGCTGCAACAATGACCTCAAGCACAAGAACGATCGTGAAGATGGCGCAGTTCCCAGGCAGTGGTTCATTCTGTTGTACATAGACTCACGAGGAGTTGGAACCAACTCAATGCTATTGAACAATAACTTGTGTACGCACAAGCATGTGTGTGTGTGTGTAAATTAAAAACTCTTGCTACTGAACAAAAAGAAGAAAGTAATAAAAACTAGAACACACTTAAAATGGGTCAAAATGGAAAACAAATGATAAGGTGTTCCATTGTGACCTAAGTACATCTGCATTAGTCCACTTTCCAATGCACTCTGATAGCAAGGCTGTTCGTCCCCTGGTCAATGGTCAGAGGAGATGCACCAGGGGCTTAATCCATTCAGGGGCTCTGCAAATGGATTTGGGGCATTCACTGTCCCGCAACCAGGGTGCTCAGAATTTAAGATTCAATAAATCTTAAAGTCTCTTCCAGCCTCAGATTGTATTATCTACAGTCCTTGAACGACACGGGTTGGTGTGTTTCTCCAGTGTGGATTTAGCTGATGCTCATTTCTTTAGATAGGTGCTTGTTGTAAGACAAGCCTTTAAGACGCTAGACATTATTCTTTCTGTTAGCCAGCCACCATCTGATTTCTTCACCACACGTGGCTTGATCACCCATCTCTTCAGTAATCACTTCATATACATACTCTTTTATTAAACAGCAGACCCTTGGGCCTTCACAGACTTACGAGGCATGATTTGATTGGTTATGAGTAACCTTAAAGATGCATGAGATGTAATGGTTTCTTGTTTTGCAAAGATTGGTTTTGAATTGGATGTGGACTGAGCCCAGAGGACTACTAATCAAACCAGGAGTTTGTGGTTCTTAGTTCAGAGAGTAGTCACCACGACGGCTCTTTGGAGGAAAATAACCCTCAATTAAAAATAAATGACTGTGCCATAGGGTTATGCACACTCGTGAGTACTTGTAAGATGTGCCTTTCATAAATGTCAGGGATGTACAATCTAGTAACTGGGTAAAGATCTAAGGCAGGCTAGTATAGCTGAAACAGAACGAAATCCCTTGAAATTGTATAATGTGGTGTCAACAGTTACCACCTTGTCCTTACTGTCAGTAATCCATGCCTAGAAGTAAGTGACAATCTACTTCAATGTCTACTTTCACGTTTTCTTAACAAGAAGTGGAATTTTTTTCTACTGTGAGTTCTTTAATTGTCATTAACATGGCAGCAGCTACACATTTTTATTCTCTCAAAGGCAAATATTATATAATGAACCCCATCATCTTTACCTGGCTATCTTATTAAATTGGTGCTTGGTCTTCAGATCCCTTTACTCAGTACTGTGTTAAATTTATTACCCATTTTGTTTGAGAAAGAATTTTAGGTGACTTACAGAGATTGGTATTTAAAGTTTCTTTCTTTCTTTTTCCTCTTCTATTAAAATATACTAAAAATATATCTACAGTAAATAAGCTACAAAACTATTCACACTCTCTTCCATACTTTGCCCTTTAGATAGCTGAATATCAGATAGAGGCAATAGCAATAAACTTCAAATCCTTTCTGATAACAAAGTCAGAGGCCACGTTACCAATTCCATTTAGAGAAAAGCCAGGCAGGACAGCAAGTTCATCACAGCTGCAAAAGCCAAGCAGGATGACGGCAGGCTGCTCAGGTCGGTGATGGATTTGTTGTTGCCTCCATTTGAGGTTTTCTCTTGGCCCGCCCTCCACATTTGTACTTTGTCGTTACTACTCAGTGATGTAGCCAGTCTTTCTGGTCAATTATTTCATCCCCATCAACTTACTCACTCTAAGCAATTGAGGCTAGAGAGGAAGAAGTATGCCTAGGAAGGCACAGTTGACACAAAAGTAGAAAAAGGAGCTTCTAGCTCATTTACGTCATCTTCAAATGGGGGGTAATGGGACTAGGTTGCTTTGAGGAGACATTTCTCTGTAGGGTTCTCCCATTTCTGCACGTCTTGTGAGCGGAAGCTTTGCCTGCCTTTGTTCTATATTATTTCCCCTCCAGGGAGTTTGGATAGGAAACAGTCTTGGAAGACAAGGTGCCTTCCTTCCTCCACAAAGAAGGGCAGATGCATTTGCTGCATATTATAGAACTCAGAATTCCTTTCCTGTCCCACACCCCACTTCACTGGCTGATAGTAGCTACCTCTCTTTGCATCATCGCCCTGGGGGAACATGGAGTTAGGTTAGGAAAGCCAAACCTTGGACTCTTATTATGATGAGTGATGAAATCCTTTGTCTCTGACCCAGGGGTCTAACGTATTCTGTCCGTAGCCATAGAATTGTGTTAGGCCAACTTGTTATCTTGCCAGCAGAGCAAAATGTTCCGACCTTTTACAGTGCTACACAGTCCGGACCAGACTGTTGGTCAGATTCACAGGGAGAGATGATTAACAATACAAATTCTGGGCTCCAATCACCAGAAATCATGACTTAATGGGTACACATCTGAAGTTGTAAAAAATATTGGTGAATAAACCCCATCTTCTGAGACCTTGAGATCCTACCTGAGATGCTTTCCAGTGCTAAACTTCTAGAGGTCTAGAATTCGCAGTTTGAGAAGTGCCACGCTGAGCGGTATCATCTGGAGTGCCCTGAGAAATGCGTGAACACGCATTAGCACGAATTGAATTCCTCCTGCTCCTGGGCAGCACTAACCACCAGGTACTGGTGAGTTTCTTCCAACTCAGGAGCCCCAGGTGTCGTTCCCTGCAAGAGGTGTTTTAAATCCCAACCTATAGTTGTAATGCCATTTAGGATCTTTGTTATGTTAATGAGGCAGGGCCCGTGTAGGGTGTAGCCTGAGCCAATCTCTTTTGAGATATAAGTGAAATCATACAGCTCAAAATGACCAACAGCTCAGAGGGAGAAAGTCTAGCCTTTGCTCCTACAGTGACAGTCTTAGAAAGACAGAGAGGGTGGATCTGACTCGATGGCAATGAACAGGAGAACACACTGGAGCAGGGCGAAGCCGAGATGAAGAAGGTGGATGCTAAACTAAACCACACGGGGCTCTCCAAGGAGCAAAGATACGGAACCTGGAGAGACTAGGCCCTTCCCCTACTGCAGAAAGAGAAAGCCCTCCCTGAGAGCTGTGGCCTGGAATTCAGACGTGCAGCCTCTGGAACTTCGAGGAAACACGTGATTGTTTGTTACAGCCACGACGAGTGTCGTGTCTCTTACGGCAGCAGTACACTCGAACCAACATACCCCATGTGTCAGAGTAAAAATGTGCCAGGGACTCCCTAGGGAGATTAAACTTCCACAGTTAGCCATGATGAAAACTCCTTATTATTCTGACCTGAAGGTAAACCTAACCCTAGCCATAACATCTCAGCCATTTGAATGCAATATGAAAAAAGCATTTTTCCAGTAGTTCTTGTTCAAAATACACAAATGAGAAACAAAAGCAATCTGAATAGTTTTCTTTTGTCCTATACTTAAAAGTTTGAGTACAAAGGAAACTCGTCTCTAACCTGCCTGCCAAATACTCAACGATCAAGCCTGAAAGTTGCAATCACAAGAAACTGGCCCTCGATAACTGGGGCATGAATGGTTTGATGTAAGGTGGAAGAACCATAAAGGAATAAAAAAAATGATATAAAAAATATAACTAAACTCACTCCGGAATGAAAACTTATATTTCGCTCTCATTTTGCAAAGCTGAGTGTAAACGGAAGATGAATAAATTAACAGCGAAACCGATAACTCACTGCTATCGAGTCACAACCAATGTATAGTGACCCTATAGGACCCAGTAGAACTGCCCTTGTAGGTCTCCGGACTGTACTTATTTAAGACACCCCATCTTACTCCCAGGTGGTTTCAAACTGGTGGACTGATGGTTTCAAATGGCTGACCTTGAAGATCTCGGCCCGAGTAACCTGTTTGGGCCAGGTTCAGACCAGGAAGCCCCTTTCACCAGCCTCTCAAGAAGACAAATGACCTGCTGAACGTCAAAGCACCTGCCTCCAGCATTTACGAAGCTTACCTCCCGGGCAGAGCACAGCCCCCCTCTCCCTAGCATTCTAGGAAGCAAGTTAGCTGAGAACAAGATGATTTACTGACAGGTCATCTCCTCACCCGAAACTTGCAACTGCAGCACAAAGCACCTCCCTTCCCCTTACCAGCCCATATGCCTGTAAGCTCATACCCTATACATGTCCAGCCGCCCCAGTACCAGGCGTGACTTCCCTGACCTAACTCGTTGGGTCATGGAACCTGTCCGGGAGCTCAAGATGCCCCGTCCCTTTCTCTGCTCTCCCTTCCCTCCTGGGAGTTCTTTCCCTGCCTCAATAAAATCTTTCTCAACTTCACATTCCTGGCTAAATTCTATCTCTGTTCTGAGCCTCCATTCCACCTCTCATAACCATTCTGCCACCAGGGCTCCACTGTAAAATCAGTAATTCAGAGTTAATAATGCAGGTTTGCATGTGTTTTCTCACTGTAGTTCACACTTGGTAAGCACTATCAAGGTGCACAATGCGTATTTGTTGATCATGGGCAGGAAGTATAGTGACAGCAATTGCAGAGCCACACTGGCCCCAGAGTAGGTGCACCATCAATGCTTAGTGCAGAATGACTGACACTGTTGTGCCCCTGGTGTATAGATGCAAACACATGCATGGTAGTTAAACGATGCTAATTGTCCACCCACTGTTTCGGTACCAGACACTGGGTTTTGTCCAGTTTCTTTCCTTATGAAAGTTTAACTTTCCTACTTCAGGACGCTGTCCTACTTTCTATAGGGTGTTATGCTGGTTTCTGTACTCTAAACCACAGGGGTCTTCTGCCTTCAGAATGACTTTGAAGATTTCTTGAACAGAAATTGTAAATGTGACAAAGGAGCAGAGTCTCCAGTTGAGCAATGGCTCAGAGTCACTTTCACGAGTCTTGTCTCTGCCCTCTCTCTTAACTGATGCCCAAGCCCCTGAGGGCAAGTTGGCTGTGATGAAGTTAGAGATTTCTAATAGTTGAGCCTGACTTGATCAGTTTACTAATTTCAATGGGAGAGATGCTTAGATTTCAGAGACTGGGAGAGCTTCTAGCCTATAGGCTTTCCGTAATCCTGAGTTTAATTGCACCAGTATTAACTTTGACCCCATTTATGGGATTATATCAGCATTAATTCTAACCCTGCTTATGGGAACCAAGCACCTGGCTTAGAGAGAAAGGAGAAACAGACCGCAGTCACCAGATAACGAGGAGATCTTGGGTGAGTCACTCTGCTCAGAGTTCACAAGCACAAGTTTCTTACGAAACCGTCTGTTGCCAATTTTCAGAATCACTGCTATTAAGAGACCACAAGGTAGAGATACCTCCTTTATGTAAGTACACCTTTTTTTGCATTGCAACATAAGTCCAACACTCCAATTTGCAGAAGGTAAGGTTAGAGATTATCTCTCAAAGCTAAGACAAAGAAAGGCTTTGCCGATGCTTAGTTTGTAGGATTTAGTTACGAAATCTTAAATTAAAACACCAAAGTGGGCAGCATTTACCCATGCAATATTATTTGGAATTAGAAACTCCAAAAGTCGAATTTTGTTGACCATGGTTCATTTGTTCCCTTTTCCAAAAGGAATTACTTCAATCCAGAGGACGATATTCTAATCACTGTAAAAATGAGGACGAGGATGCTAAGCATAAGGTCTTCACCTCCTGGAGCGTTGGCACCTTAACTCAAGTGAAAATAAAGTGACAGTGTTGGGAAATTACAGTCCCTTACATGTAATTGAGTCTAAATGTTCCGGTTTCAATTTCTAATACTGATGAATAGGATACCAAGTGCAAAATTTTATGTCTCTAAAATGAATTCTTACAAACCATTTAGGCTTCCTTTTTTAAACAACGGCTCCTTTCTGAGGTGTTCCATGCAGCATACGGACTCTGTGCCCATGTCACATCTCCAGGGAAGCTGATCGTCCTCTGAGGCTCTGCTGGGCCGTCTACCAGCTTCAGCAACCACATAAAGACCCTGTCTGTCCTTCTTTCCTTCCTCGTCTTCTTCCTCCCTCCCTTCTTCCCTCCTTCCTTCCTTTTATTATCAAATACTCGCCCAGAAACCGAAGAAATGCAGAAATTGAATATAATGTGTCATTGTTGGGCTTGCAACTGTAATGGAGAGCTTTCTCCTCTAAAATACACCGTGTCGTTGTGACTGGCAGTACCATGGTTATAAATGAAACACCTACTTCCAGAAGGGAATCAAGGCTTTGAAAGCAAGCAGTATACGCAAACTATGCCTCTTAGATATGCTTCCTCTCACTGTGATTCGGCCACTGCTCTCAGGGAAAAAAAGTTCTGTTTCCTCTATTCAGTGTTAACATATTAAAACAAAAATAGACCCTTTAAAATCCTCTGTCATACCATAAGTTCAGACGCATTCCCAAATTTCATTCTACACTATCCCATTGTGGACCAATGTTTACAATGGCTTCGAAAATGGGGCCTCGTGTTGGAATTTTATCGAAGATCATTTCAAATGACATCATGCATAAGGTGTGCCTGTGACGACGCTATTCTCTTCTTTATTTGCAGTGATAAATCTTGTGGTTTAGGTTTATTTGATTGTAGAAAAATAAAGTTTGATTCCAGTTCTTAAACCCTTCATGTACCTGCTGGTACGAGGCATTAGGCTGGGTGCCACATTGCTACAATCCCAAATAGATTAGGAAGCTGATCACTTATTAGAGCGATAAAACAAACATCCACATAAGAAACGCTTCGAATAAGACTCAGTAAGGAAATGACTATGAGAATTGCAGTGAGAGCACAAGGACTGTGCACTGGAATCCAGCCTGGGGAGGAAGTCTTCCAGGAGGAAAAATGCACACCTCGTGTGAAACCGAGTACCTGTGACAGCTTTGGAGATGCCCTGTCTTATGAAGAAACCTTTACGTTGTAATGTCTGTTCATTCCTCTGCTATCTCTTTCATCCTTAAAAAAAAACTTGAACTATATTAAAGTAGCACTGTTGAGTTACAGTGCATCCTATTAGAATTCTTTGGAAGTTGGGTAAACCAAAACATAGACCAGGGATGTGGACAGCCTTCCTTTCATGCAGAGTACACCAGCAAGTGGATTATGCCGATCCAGTTCAGTTAAACTTTAACCCCTTCTCGTTTGATCTCCCTTTTGACCCATTTAAAATTTGTTCTAGTTTTTAGTAATTTCTGTTTTCTTTTCAAATGAGGTTTTTCACCGTTATGCTTTATGGTTGATGTTAGTTAATTTTTTATTTGTTTTTTACTTGTATGTTTTTCTGTATATGAAACCCAAGATAGGTAAATCTGTAGATTTACCAAGAAACCATTTAACTGGGTTAATGGTTTCTTGGGGGTATAGTAGGGGAAGATGGGGGCAAATGGGGAACTCATAACAAAGAGCACAAAAAAGAAGAAAATGTTCTAAAATTGATTGTGCTAATGATTATCCAGCTCTTCTTGATATGACTGAAGTACTGAATTGCTTGATTTGTGAATTGAGTGCCAATAAAACTGTTTTTTAAAATATAATAACTTGTATAAGTGTTAAACCTCCAAATTACTTTTTGTTAAACAAACACATTTACTAAGATTATTATAACTTAAGATTTTAAAATATTAGGAAACAGTGTTTTCAGATATTCTTAAAAATATCTACATATCAGAGGCCTGTAGTACTTCACTGAAAAGTTGGATTAAAAGAGAATGGCATTTTCCCAGGAACTCTTTGAAGCCCCTTGGATAAGCATATAATCTGCTTAGTTCAAATGATTTTATAGTGTTTATTACAATGATTCCTTTAAGAACTATTAATTTATCTATAATATTTTATAGTTATAGTTACTATACTTTTTATTAAAAGGTCGTTTTATTAGGGCTCTTACAGCTCTTATAGCAATTCATACATCAATTGTATCAAGCATATTTGTACATATGTTGCCACAATTATTTTCTAAACATTTACTTTCGATTGAGCCCTTAGCCTCAGCTCCTCTTTTTTCCCTCTCTCTCCACCCCCTGACCCTTGTGATACCTTGATAAATTATAATTTATTATTATTTTCATATCTTACACCAACCACTGTCTCTCTTCCCACAAGGTTTCTGTTGTTCATCCCCCTGAGGGGGAGGTGGTGGGGAAGTGGTTATATGTGGATCATTGAGCTCAGTTTCCACTTCCTTCCCTCTTCTCCCCACCGTCCCCCTACCCTCCTGGTATGGCTACTCCCATTCCTGTTCCTGGATTCTGTGACCATACATTTTTAAAACCAACAATCAGCTCATCTTTGTTTCTTTTAAGACATTTTGTAAAATGTAGAGATTTCATCAAGTCCAAACAGGTCTTCCCATTTAGTCTGGCTGGGTGGAACAAGACTCGATGTGTCAATAAAGCACATTTTCAGGTTGAAAGGGCATGCAGTGGTCCCCAGCACAGACTTCTCCCATGCTCCCATGCGTGATTGGTACCTGACCTTTCTGTCTTCTTCATAAGTAGTCTTAGGATCTACAACAGCTAATGGAGTTTCATGTCCCAGGTAAGAAAGCTGAGATTTGGAGCGCTGCCGGATGGAAGCTCTGCAAAGAAACAGAAAGATGAGTCTACAGGTTGTAGGCAGGTTGGAACAGAACTTAGATGGTTTCCAAATTTATATCACGTGTGTCCAATAAACAGAAATGTGTGGTAAGTCAAGCGGCAACCAAGTCAGGGAGTTTCCTCGTTAAGTGTGACTTCACTCTCCTTAAAACCCCAAATACCTCACATGCTGCTCTGATCACAGCCCACCATGACCCTGTGGGCAGAGTAGAACTTGCCTAGAGGGTGACCAAGACTCTAGTCTTCACAGAAGCAGACTGCCACCCCTTTCTTCTGCAGATGGGCTGCGGGGCGTTGAACGGAAGACCTTCTGGTCAACAGCTGAGCACTTCAGCCACTGCGGCACCAGGGCTGCTTCTGATCTTTCCTTAACCCCAAACCAGATCCACTGCCATTGAGTTCATTCCCCTTCAGAGTGACCCATAGGGCAGGGAAGTGCTGCCCTTTGGGGCTTCCAAGACTTTAAATCTTTATAGGAACAGTCAATCTCTCTTTCTCCCACAGAGCGGCTGTTGGTTTCCATTGGCTTACCCTATGATTAGCAGTTCAATGGATAGCCCACTGTGCAACCAGGGATCCCTCATCTATCCTGGAAGGTAGAGTTGAATAAATACCATGGGCATTTAAAGGAGAAGGAATGTATGGGGGGTGTTGTCATGAAAGGCTGCGTGGACTAGTCACAAGGTCAGGTTGCTGCATCTGTAGACTTGAAGGAGGATTATTTATTTCTGAATGAAGCAGGGTAAGCAGCGGTATGGAGACAGGAAAAAGCAGGGTAAGTACATGACAAGTATAAGAAATGACTTGTTCTGTTTGGGGGTTTGTTTCTTTACTTGAGATTTCTAGCATGGAGCCTCCTATTGTGCTGTAGGGGCTGCTGGCAGTGACGTTGAGACAGCAAAGGAAGGTGGCTCCTGATATACGAAGCCAACCCTGCAAAAGCAGAGCTGAGGAAGGAAAAGAAACGGTATCTCTCTTGGACACATCACTGGAGGCCCCACTTGGTCTTTATTCAAAGCATCCTTGGACTATTTTGTTCTATGAGCTGCTTCTTTCCCTTTAAGGGTCAAACCAGGTTAGCTTAAGTTTCATTCATTTGCATATAGTCTTTAATGAGAGAATCCATGGTGAAGGGGATGATATGATCCCAACTGTGTTCTAGAAAGCTTCATCTGGGCTCTCAAACTCACACATTGCCATTGCGCCATCTCTAATTCATATCCACCCTCTAGGACAGGGTAGGATTGCCCCTGTGGGTTTCTGAGTCTGTAACTCTTTACAGGTGTAGCACACCTCCTCTCTCACCCACAGAGAGCAGGTGGCTTCAAATTGCTAACCTTGTGGTTAGCCACCCAGCCCATCACCCGCTGTGCTCCCAGGGCTCCTTCTGGGAAAATATGATGTGGAGGGAGAGCTAGCTGTTGGCGAGGTCACTGAGTGCAATCTAGGCGGAGCCGCCATGTGTGTGTCTCATTTGTATCCAGGAAAAAGTAGACTAACACGAATATCACAGTGGTACTTGCCTATCGCATACTCATCAGACCTTTTTGAGAAGTCAGGACATGCCAACTTAATTCCTCTAACTTGTTCCTGTCTTCTGCCGATGGCACTGCCACTCTTAGTCACCCGGGCTCAACATTCCAAATCCATACACTAACATGAATATTTTCTTTTGAGCCTCTTTAACTGACTTTCAGTAAACAACCCTTTTGACTAAGCAATTCATATCATGAAATCTAGACTCAAAGCACAACTTTGAATTAGAGGTTCTACAAAGCGTAAAAGCAACAGTAGAGAAATACACTATCGTGACTAAGAGTCTCCCTCCTAATTTGAGGCAGGGAAAATGCTTTGGGAAAGTATTTTCATGCTCCCAGGAAGAATTCTCTTTTTTGGGGGAAGAATCTTAATACACAGACTTTCAGCATGAAAGAAACTATTTTATTGAAATTTCTAAGTGAAGATACAAGACCAAAATTCTTGGTCTTGTTAATAAGAACACACACACATTTTGAAAGTGACTATAGTGACCCATGCATTTACTTGAAATCGTTCATCTTGCTTGCTCTTGTAGAATTAAGACCATGTCAAGTCTCACGTATGACCAGTGTTGAATATTGTTCACCCTCACTCCCCATCCCACCTGTCCTGAAACTCCCCAGCAATAGACTCACTTCTTCTGCTCTGGTAACGAAAGTCAAGATATCTTTTCCAGAATTTGCAGAGACGGGAACATTGCCATCTGGGGAAGTAGGGTAGGTGGTAGAGCTGATACTTAAAGCAAGAGGTAGACCGGCCTACAAAGTAAACTCAAGATACTGGAAACCACGGGAGGAGTGTGTGGTCAGGGAGGAGGTGTCAAGACATAAATGATTTCTCAGTTTCGAGCATGGGAAGATATATCTTCTTGGCTCCCTTCATTTTACTACTATAATTTTATATGTCTTAAAGCTCTCCTCCTCATTCTCAAAGCCATTCTGCCCATCGGCTAGCACAACCAGCCCATAGCAGCAAGCAGGCTGGGCAGGTGCTCCGTGTGACAGCAGCTCCCTTCTGACAAGGCAGCCACTCCCTGGGGAGCCAGTTCTGACTCACGCTGACCCCAGGTGCTACGCAACAGACCTGTATTCCATAGGGGTCTCGGGGCTGTGACCTTTCCAAAATAGATGGCTCGGCCTTCTTTCTAAGACATCTCTGGATGGGTTTGAACCCATTAGTAGCTTTAATGTTTAACTGGTTTCACTATGAAGGGATTCCTGATTTCCCCTCTAATCCACCACGCATGTCCGAGGGACAATGGCACCACACGCTTTTCTGCCACTGTCTGTTCAGGGGCAAACAAAACAACTCATCTCAGGGACCCTGTGCTCGTCCTCTCCGCGTGGTTATTTGGGAAATTGGTTGCCATGACTCATTGAATTGTTCTTGGACTTAAAATATATTACTAAGGAGGGACTTTGCCATCAGAAAGATCGAAAGCCCAAACAATAAGATATAAATTAACTTTTCATGTAGTCCTCTCTTGGCGCCAAAATCTGTCAGCATACAAAAGGAGATCTTTTTAACAGAGCTTCTTCTTGCTCCGACTTAGAAAGCTTGCTCTGCTGGCGGTTCACAGCGCCTGTTCCGTGTGGGTGTTACATTGCTGCGTCTCTCCACCAAGGAACCAAACTGCAGGGTTTGTCCATTCTTACAGCCAAGTGGAAAATATTTACACTAAAATGATTTTCTGGTTCTCATAACAAACTGTCAGCCAACGACCTTAAACAGGTAGGATCTTGTTCATCTGAAAAGTTAAGAAACAACTGATTTTTTTTTTGCCTACATGCCCACAAGCTAACCCTTCTACTTGAGCTTTTTAATTGAAAATCTCAAAAGAGAGTCCTCCTGATTCTCTGTGCTTACGGAGTTAGGTGGATCTTTACATTACTGCTCTCATGACGCTCATAATTTTGATTTTTTAAATTCCATTTAGAAAAGCATCATTCAATGTAATGCCAGTTATCTGTAAAAGTTGCCCAAGAGTGTGGTGCATTTTGTCCTTACAGCTTTCACTTTCAGGCGCAGGGCAGACAAACTGCAGTACGGACACGTGGCTCTGAAGTAACATGGAAATATGTTAAAGGATATCATTCAGCTAGTGGTGATTTTACTTGTTTGTAAAACTCTATTTGTGGCTCTTACGTAACTTTTAAATTGTGCGAGGGACAGAATTGACTCCTCCATCTCTGTACTAAAGGAACATGAAACTACTACTGTGTGACTATTTTCCAGATAGAATAAAACAAGCATTTCCTTCACATTTCTCTGAATAAACTTGTTCTCAGGATGTAAAAGAGGAACCCGCAGCATAAACTCAGTGGACTATTTTGAAAAAATTTATATATATTTAAATCTTGTTTGAATGATTGAGAGTTGTTGCATGAATCTTTGTTGTTAACACCAGTTTTCAGTGAGCAATCAGTCATCTTGAACAAGCAGTTGATACAGCCATGCCTTTTCCCAAAGCACAGCCTTGAACTAAATGTCTTGGAAAAGATAAAGGTGCCCTGGTGGCCCCGTAGGTTAAGCACTGGTCTGCTACCTCCAAGGTCTGTGGTTCAAACATGCAACTGCTCTGCAGGAGAAAGGTAAGACTGTATGCTCCCACAGAGCTTATCAGCCTCAGAAACCCGAGAGAGCAGTTCTACTCTGTCCTATGGGGTCACTGAATCGGAAGCCACGCAAGGCCACTTGGTAGAGAAGCAGTCACAGAGGGATAGGATGTCAGTATCTACCAGTGGCCTCCCAATGTGAGACATAGAAACTTGAAAACAATTTTCATGAACATAAATAAATGCTCCTGGGTAGAATTCTTAATACACAGAGTTTTTATATTAAAGAAACTATTTTATTGAACCATCTAAACCAATATCTAAGACTAAAAATTATATGTTTTTGAATAAAAACATACTAAATTTAAAAAGGTGTTTTGAAAGTAAATGCCCTTATATTGAGCCAGAGAAAAATAAAGAGTTTGTGTATAGGGAGATCCCTTTGAGAAGGTATGAGATACGTATACTTGTTTCTTTTCATTTCATCCCTTCAGATGGATTGCTCTAGGAGCAGAAGGGTTTGAAATTGGATGGCAAGTCAGTATGTTTGAGAGTGGAGCTAACAGAATGAGCCTGACCTCCATTCCTTTTGTAATAAGAAACTAAACAGATTTTATTTGACACCATTTCTTTTCTAATATCAATAACAAGCATTTTAACTATTTATAGACTCTTTCAATCATTACCCAATACATCCCAAAAGATGAGAAGCCAATGTCAAACAAAACCATGAAGTAGCAAAAGACAGGCCAACATGGACTTCATTTGCCTCTTCATATTACACAAAACATGGGACTATGTTTAAGACTCCCTTAGTGCATATTGAGATATTTCCTGAGGATCACAGTGGGAAGGAGAACTGAAGAATTTTAGAAAATTTCTAAATATCACCTGTGACTTGAACTTACCTTAAGCTAGCACGGTAACTTCCTCTGCTAAAGGTCTCATTTCGCTCAAGTGAAGCATCTTCCTTCGCATCTTTTTCTATTCAATACAACATGAGTGATTATTCAGGGCATACAATAAACATACTATTCATAAATAGAATTAATAACTATGTTTGTCTAGATGTAATTACCCTGCCTAGCACTAAAACTTTTACTAAATAGATTGTGATAAATAAGATCGCAATCACCCAGCCCATTCTAACAAAGAATTTCCAGATACTCAGAAAGAGTGAGTCATTTGAACCATCTGACCGCCTGTAAATGTTACTTGCTGGTGGAGTACTGGGATGCTAACCACAAGATCTGCAGTTCAGGTCCACCAGTACCTGTGTGGGAGAAAGAGGAGGCTGTCTACTCCTATAAAGAACTGAAATTTCTATTCTGCCCTATCCGTCACTATGAGTACCTTCGGTCGACTCAAGGGCCATGAGAATTTGGAGCATGAATCATGAAAGAAGAAAACTTAATGGAAACCATCAGATGTGGCAGAAAGTGACAGACACAGACAGACAGACAGACAGACA